TATCATTTTAACACATTAATCGAAGTCTTTTACTTGCCGCCGCCACATAATCGTTTTCAAATCGCTCTTGCTACCGTTTATACAAGCAAATTTGTCGTCATCGTCCATTTGCATTGGAGTTTTTGCTGTTTTCGTCGCCGTGTTAACCTGTGAGTTGTCACCGTTTTAACCTGTAAGTTGTCGCCGTTTTAAGCTTTGGCTGTTTTTGTCGCCGTTTCAACCTGTAAGTTGCATACCATTTTGCAAATCGCTCTCGTTGCTATTTTATTTGCAAAATTTTTGGTAATCGTTCATTAGCGTTGGAATTTTGCCGTTTTCGTCGCCGTTTCAAACGGTAAATTGTATACAAATAGCTATCGCTGCTTATTCTATTTGCAAAATTTTTCATCATCGCCCGTTATCGTTGGAAGTTTGCCGTTTTTCGTCGTCGTTTTCAACAGTCACCTGTACATTGTCGTTTACCGTTTGGACAAATTTAATAAATCCGCTTAATAATAATAATAATATCCCAACGGTTTTTACCCTCCATTCCCGCCCATCCGCACGAGGGGCGCAGTCCGCATGACGTACGGAACCAATATTTTAAATTTTTGTGCCGAGTCACGATAGGCAGGAGTTTGTTAAGTGTCGAGATCTAAAACTGTTCAGCTACAGAACTAAATTCATCAGCTGATTTTATGTATTTATGTCAATAATTCACTTATTGAGAGAGGAGAGTATCGCTTTCTTAATGCTGAAAAGCGGATCTGATATATCAAACGTGCTGGAGTGAGAGTTAAAATCCTAGCATAAGCAACGGAGTGGGTCGTGCAATTCAAAATTGGTTTTACAGGCTTTCAGAAATATGGGACAAAAGTGTCTTGATACGCATGACGGAACATTAAAGCTTACATCAGCCAGAAGAGACAGACTTGAAATTGAGCCTGTCAGTAATTTAACCATAAAAATTATACCAAGCATTTCCCTGCGACTGGCAAGTGTAGGAAGGTTAATAAGTTTTAAGCGACTCGTATAAGGTGGAAGACTATATTGAGAATCCCATCGGAAATTTCTTAAAGCAAAAAGTAGGAATTGTTTTTGAATTGATTCTATCTTGTCTGAGTAAATTTGATACCTTGGATTCCAAACCACCGAGCCGTATTCCAGAATCGGCCTAACTAATGTTGTAAACAGGGTTTTAGTGATATAAGGGTCACTAAATTCTTTTGACCATCGTTTCACAAATGCAAGTACACCTTTAGCCTTGTTGACTGTCACATTAATGTGAAGATTAAAATTAAGCTTAGGATCCATTGTGATACCAAGGTCCACAAAATTGTATACCTGTTCCAGGTTATGGTTACCTATTATATAAGAAACTGGCAGAACAGCTCTTCGCGAGAAGCACATTACTTTACATTTCTTAAGATTTAGAGGCATAAGATTTACTTTACACCAGTAAGCCATGCTGTTTAAGTCTGATTGTAGCAAAGACCTTTCTTCAATTGAAACGTACGATTTATAAAGTTTTACATCATCTGCATACATTAAAATTTTGGAGAATTTTATATCTGTAGAAATATCGTTTATAAAATGCAAGAACAGAATCGGGCCTAGGTGGCTACCCTGAGGGACTCCTGAAGTAACATCAATGACGTCAGAGATAGTATTTTTAAACAATACCCTTTGTGATCTATCATAGAGGTATGAAGAGATCCAACGTAGAAAATTAGGTGGAAGACCAAGAAGATCAAGTTTATAGATGAGCAACGAGTGGCACACTTTGTCAAATGCTTTACTGAAATCAGTATATATAACATCAACAGTTTTGCTCTCACTAAATGCCTTTGAGATATAGGATGTTAATTCAAGTAAATTTGTAGAAGTTGATTTGCCCTTGCAAAATCCATGTTGACTGTACGAAATGCTTGAAGTGATAGAATGCGTCAACCGATTTGTTATAATTGCTTCAAATAATTTAGGAATTGCAGAAAGCTTAGCTATGCCCCGGTAGTTCCCCACTGAAGACCTGCTACCGCTTTTATGTAAGGGGGTTATGAACGATTCCTTCCATACAGTTGGAAAAACGCCCTCTTTAAGAGACAAATTAAATAAGGCTGTTAACGGCTCATAGAGATAATCAGCACTATTTCTAAGAAAACAAGTGGGGATCTGGTCAGGACCATAACTAAAAGACTGCTTTAAGGACTTCAGGTAAACTAAAACATCATCGGGAGATATTATAGGGTTATGTATTGAGTTAATTGGACTTAGTTTAAAAGGATAGTTAAAGTATGCTTGGGAGTTAGTGGAATAATTGGATTTAAAAAACTGAGCGAACATGTTAGAAATTGTTTGATTATCACCAGAGACGGTATTTTGATACTTCATGGCGAAAGGAAACCCACGTACATTTCGCTTGGAGTTTACGAAAGCATAAAATGATTTGGGGTTATATATTATACGTCGTTTGATTTTACATAAGTAATCTTTATAACACTTTTTGTTTAATTCAAAGAACTTGTGACGCAAAAGTGAGTATTTTACATAGTATGAGTGTAAGCCGGTTTTTTTTGTGTAATCTAAAATAACGTGACTTTCTGTTTTTCAAGTTTCTCAGTTCTTTAGTGAACCATAACTGTGTTTGTTCTACAGGAACACACATGCGTTTAGGCACATACTTTTCAAATAATCTATGTACAGTAAAATTAAAATGTGCAACGCTTTGCTCAACTTTTTCTTTGTATATAGGCCGCGACAATTTAGACAATTCTTTATTCAGTTTTTTAAAGTTGGCTTTCGAAAAATCAAAGCGAATATTTGGCTCGTATGTTTGGACATCGCAATTTTGACCATCGTTTATAATTTCGTAAGATATCTCAATAGCAGGGTGGTAGACATCTTCAGGAAAAACAAAGATAATTTGACCGCTATACATTTTTTAATCAATTCGATTGGGACACTTGGTGCCTGCAAGTCAACGTATTAAAAGAAAAATAATTTTGACCGCTCTAAGTCGTCATTAAAAATCACCAGTAATTTGCAAGGCAGTGCTTTTTAAGACCTTACTAAAAGTCGTCGTTTCATGTGGTGGGGTTTTGATAAACTTTTAATTTAATTGACTTGTTATTGGGAAACATTGCACTATTAGTCGTTGTTTAAATTCGCGCCGCGATGCCCAGAGGCATATCAACTAGATCGCAGACTGGTGCAGATGCAGAGGGAAGCAAATCCGAATCGGATGATGCCAGTCAAATTGGCGCACCCGTGCGGTATGCAGCGCAACCTCCAACCAACATAGGAGCTGACGCGTTGGCTACTTTGGTTGCAAGCATCACCGCATTGAGGGAGTGTGTTCAAGAGTTACGAAATGAGACGAGTCGTAGCCAAGCTGAGATACAACAGTTGCGTGAACGTATCGAATTGGATTCTGCTCAGTTCGCTGATGCACCAAATCCAGTTGCGCCGCTTTCAGTTCCACAATCGTCGCAGAACGTGCGGCAGTTAACGCTGCCTGCAGTACAGCCACTAACATCGACGTCGGCAAATGCAGCCTTAACTCTTTTTGATAGTTCCGCTAAGCTCTACCCGCTACCAACCTTCGACGGCAATGCCGAAGATTGGCCATTGTTTTCTGCGAATTACGTAGACACTACAGCGGAATTCGGGTATAATAATAGGCAGAACCTCATGCGACTGCAAAGAGCGCTACAAGGCAATGCAAAGCGCGCCGTCACATCAATGCTTATTTATCCGGATGATGTACCAAAAATAATAAAGGAGCTAGAATTTAATTTCGGTCGCCCCGATTTATTAATACGCGCACAGCTACAAAAAGTTCAGACGTTTCCAGCAATCAGTGACAACCGCCTCGATCAAGTTCTCGAATTCTCAAATCGTGTTTGTAATATATCGGCGTTTTTCAAATCTGCGACGTGCGAACATCATTTGAGAAATCCGACTCTTCTGGAACAGCTGATTACAAAGTTGCCACCATCAAAACAGTTCGAATGGAGTAAGTATGCCGCCAACGTTTCGCCTTATCCTACTGTGGAGACTTTTGCCGACTGGTTGAGCGATTTGGCCAAGGTTGTGTCGATTATGCCAGGTGTTGCCGACATTTCTTTGCGCTATAGCCATCCAGTAATGCCACAGCCGAGACAAAACACGTACGCCAATCGCCAACTAGGTCAAAGTGGAGGGTCAACACGTCGAGTCTTACACAGTAGTGAGGAGCAGCCATCGTGTTTGTGCTGTAAACAGGTACACACTCTCACAGACTGCCGTAAATTCGGATCACTTGATTGTGCAGCTAAGTGGTCTTTTGTAAAGCAACATCGGGTATGTTTTGGGTGTCTGCAGAAAGGCCACAGTTTGGCCGATTGTCGTCGTCGTAGTACATGTACTATAAATGGTTGCAAGCGTATGCACCATAAGCTCCTGCATCAAGATCGTCATTTGCCTAGTCCGCCAGCTGATAATGAACGCATATTGAACTGTCATAGAGATGTTGAAGCCAGCCTTTTTAAATTTTTGCCAGTGATTTTGATCGGTCCTCGCGGTAGTGCCTCAGTATATGCCATGTTTGATGAAGGGTCGTCAGTGTCGCTCCTAGAGGAAGAAGTCGCCGCACAGTTGGGGTTAAGAGGTCGTGCCATGCCGCTTACCCTACAGTGGTACGGTGACAGCCAAACAACTGAAACCTCCAGGTCAGTGTCTTGTGAAATAAGAGGCGTAAACGGTCATAATACCTTCTCGGTGAAAAACCTGTGCGCTATCAAAGGCCTTAATTTGCCGAGACAATCGTTCGATCAAAGCAAATACAGGCATCTAGCAGCACTGCACGTTGAAAGCTACAAAAACGTTAAGCCTGTTTTGCTACTAGGCCTTGACAACTGTCATTTGGGTGTGCCTAGCAATACAGTTCAAAGCAGAGAGGACCAGCCAGTCGCAATAGAAACCAAGCTGGGTTGGGTGGTGTACGGCCCACATCGTGAAGATTTCGTCACAAAGCCAAGGGTGTTACAAGTTCGTCACTCCACAAGTCTTAATCAGCTAAAGAAGATAGTAGAAGATTACTTTGCGTTGGAAAATTTCGGTGTCAATTGCAAGGTGGTTATGGATTCGGAAGGAAGTCGTCGCGCAAAACATATATTAGCGGAAACCACTAGGGGTATCGGAAAGAGGTATGAAATCGGGTTACTGTGGCGGGAAGATGCCGTTAAGCTCCAAATTAGTTACGCTATGGCGAAACAACGTCTGTTAAATGTCGAGTCGCGAATGGTTCGTGATGCAACATACGCCGAACGGTACAACAACGAAATTGCCAAATACATTAACAAAGGGTACGTAACTCAACTATAGCCGGATGAAGCCGCTCGAGAAGGACCAAGGACATGGTACCTCCCTCACTTTAGTGTGATCAACCCGCACAAGCCGCAAAAGCTGCGTATCGTGTTTGACGCAGCCGCAGTGACGAACTCGGTGTCACTAAATTCAGTTTTATTGAAGGGGCCGGAACAGGCGCAGTCGCTCGTAACCATCATCCACAAATTTCGTCAGGGAATCATCGCTGTAGCTGGAGACATCCAGGAGATGTTCTCGCAGGTGCATATTCGAGAAGCTGATCAAGATTCCCAACGATTTTTGTGGAGAGAGGGAAACCCGAACCAACCGATCCGTACATATAAAATGACCGCAATGATATTTGGCGCGATTTGTTCACCGTGTTGTGCCGAGCACATTAAGAACGTCAACGCTTCTAAGTTCCAGTCAACAATGTCAAGGGGAGCACGGGCTGTCATTCAAAATACTTCCGTTGATGACCTAGTGGTAAGTTTCAACAGTGCCGAGGAAGCCGTCGAGGTAACTACTGAAGCCGTTAAAATCAACGCAGCTGCGGGGTTCAAATTACGGAATTTCATATCGAATAACGAATTCGTTCAACAACAACTTAATGGCGAAAATGCTGGGGTAGACAAACCGATCGTATGAATGGAGCACCAAGCAACAACCGAAAAGGTTCTCGGTATGTTCTGGAACACCGCGAATGATAGTCTTGAGTTTCACTTCCAATTTTTCAAAATTGCCCAAGACGTTCTAAATGGTACACGGTCGCCAACGAAGCGCGAGTTGCTGGGCATAGTCATGAGCATGTACGATCCGTTTGGGTTTTTGGCAAATGCTTCAATATGTTTAAAACTAATGGTGCAAGCTATGTGGAAGCTACAAGTGGAGTGGGATGAAGCGATACCGTGTCATCTGGCAGATCAGTGGTCGAAGTGGTGGAACAGTGCGCAATCCATAAAATACCTTTCTGTGCCACGATGCTATTCTGCGTTGCTTCCGGATGCTGACGATGTCCAGTTGCACATATTTGTCTGCCAGTTCATGTGCCTATGCTGCTGTCGCATATCTACGTGTGCCTTGGTGTGTACTAAGTCGAGGTGCGCACCAATTAAGGGTATGACAATACCACGCCTGGAGTTACAAGCCGCAGTGCTTGGTTGCCGTCTCAAAGAATCGCTTGAACGCTATCACGACGTTCAGATCGACAGCATAACATTCTGGAGTGACTCAAAAACCGTCATATTATGGATACGCTCGACAAGCCGAAACTACAAGCAGTTCGTTGCATACCGTGTAGGTGAAATATTGGGTGCCACATCTGCGAATCAGTGGCGTTGGATTCCCACTTCTTTAAACGTGGCCGACGAAGCAACGCGATCCTGTCCATCATTTGTAACTAAGCTTAAGTCGAGATGGTTTATGGGTCCAGATTTCCTCCGAGAAGACACCAGCTGCTGGCCTCCAGATATAGTAGACCTGACTTCGGAGCATTATGCTGCAGAAGAGTTGCCGAAACGAATTTTGCTGTCAAAAACAGGGGAGTATCCAATAAAGTTTGCTAATTTTTCATCTTTTTTAAGAATCGTCAGAGTCGTTGCCTGGGTTTTGCGTATATTTTACAACACGAAGTCAAAGGTTCGTCGGGTTGGAGACCTTAACGCTGCAGAACTCGCTAACGCCGAAAAGAAGGTACTTCTAAGAGTTCAGTCTGTCTCATTTCCTGGCGCCATCCATAATATTACGCACAAGAAGCGCTCGCCGAAAACCAATCCTCTTTTCCAACTAACACCGTTTGTCGATGATGATGGGTTACTAAAAATAAATGGGAGAATAGATGCCGCCTACTGTTTGCCAATCACAGCTCTCCGACCAGTCATTTTACCTCAGGACCACTACGTAACACGTTTGATAATGAAGCAGTATCATCGCCAGTTTCATCATCAAAATGACTGCCTCACCATCAACGAGATGCGCTAAAAATTCTGGGTGCCTCGAGCACGAGCACTGCTGAAGTCCATCAAGAGAGAATGTGCGGTATGCATACGTAACAACGCTAAGCCAGTGGTTCCACTCATGGGTCAGCTGCCAATCGATCGGCTTACACCATATGTCCGCCCATTTTCTTATGCTGGTGTAGACTACTGCGGTCCTTTTCTGGTGACAATCGGTAGGCGAAATGAGAAACGGTGGATTGGACTATTTACCTGCCTAACAACGCGTGCGGTCCATTTAGAAATTGCAGAAGACTTGTCGACGGACGCTTTCATCATATATTTGCGTAACTTCATAAATCGGCGAGGCGTACCGATAAGAATTAGAAGCGACAACGGACCAAATTTTGTGGGAGCCCAAAAATAATTGAAGAATAATTCGATATTTGATTTTGGTCGCATTGAAGGTGAGATGGCACGTCGAAATATTGAGTGGGTTTTTAATTGCCCCGCGAATCCGTCAGCAGGAGGATGTTGGGAACGACTCGTGCAGTGTGTCAAGAGGTTGTTGCAGCGGGTGCTGCACCAAGAAGCGCCGCGTATCGAAACATTTCGCAACGTCCTCATAGAAGCGGAAAATATTATTAACAACCGCCCGTTGACTGATATAGCCGTAACACCACATGATGATGAGCCTCTAACACCCAACCATTCTTTGTTTGGATGCCCCCACTCGACGCAAACGCCTAACCCCGAGCAAGAAAGGGTATGTATACGCAAACAGTGGCGTATAGCGCAAAATCTAAAGGGCCGACTGTGGAGGAGGTGGACAAATGAATACTTACCTCAACTTCTTCGTAGATCAAAATGGAGAACTGAAACACTGCAGACTGGTCAGCTGGTCATAGTTTGCGACTCTACCAAACCGAGGAGCCAGTGGGAGATAGGTAAAATCACTGAGGTGTTTACTGCCAAGGATGGTCAAGTGAGAAGTGCAAAGGTTCGTACCAGTTCAGGAGAGGTGCGTCGTCCAGCCAGCAAGCTAGCCGCCCCCAAAGGATCCACCGGGGAGTGGGATGTCGTTTCCCAACACTGAACTACCTTATTTCGTCTTGTCCTTACATCCTTCGAATTCGCCGCAACAAAGTATGAGAGGGCAAAACGAAATTGGCAATTACAGCACTCGAATCCAGTTGATTCCAAAACGATTTCATTGCAAAATCAGAGCGCGAACGAGTAGCAAGGGCAGCGATTTGAAACACTCCCCATCGCCATCAATCAACATTGTCAACGATCAACGCACATACCTGCATTTTGTTCATCGTGATCTGTGTTTGATTTTGCATTACATATACCAAATTTGTTCAAGTCTTTAAATCATTAAAAGTACAAAGTATATCATTTTAACACATTAATCGAAGTCTTTTACTTGCCGCCGCCACAGATATAATAAATAAACGCAATCATTATAAAATAATAACATGCAGATACACCATTATACCGAAAAGTGTACGCTTGGAATATACTTTAACTACACGTATACATGTATGTAATTTATATGTACATACATATATCGCACACCGTCTTCAAAAGAGTCACAACTCAAAATTTGGCATTTTTGACATTATGCGCTAAAAATGTACACAGAGCTTTTATTTACCTTTCAGCAAAAGTTGGAGCAAATTTTTGTTATAATTTGTTAAAAAAAAAAACCTAAGGTAAAGTCGCCCTTGCCCATATGATTAGCATGTGCTACTAAATAGTTTTTCGCATTTTCTGACGAACGTATTATTTTGAGTTGTGACTCTTTTGAAGACGGTGTGCGATATATTACCACCATAATTCATATATTTGTGCATATTCCTACATTCCTTCCAACCGAAAGCATTTGCTTGCATTACTTACATATACATATGTATATATGCTGTATGCGTAACAAAATGCATATCCAAAACAAACGCGAAAAATATCTCCGATACAACGTCATTGAAAATTTTTCGTGATAAGTTTATCTCGATAAGCTGTTATGAGTGATCGCGAATGAATTACTTGCATTGTTTTTCTCATTTATGAGAGGCCGACACACAGTGTAAGAATTGACCCACCCAGCTGCTTTTAATTCTGTAATTCGAAAACTATTGAAGATAGATTAATCAAAATTTGCGCAAGGTACGTTATAAGATAGACGAAGCTTTTTACAAAAAATGGGTCATTTACAGGTACTGTCACGCCACCCTATATATACCTTTAATTTTTAAAAAGGCAAAAGCTGAAATATTTAACTAACTACAAAAGCTAAAATGCCCAAAATTGATATTTAGAACTTCCTTATAACAAAGCATTATAAACTGACCGAAATGGACTTGAAAATGATTTTTTTTTTTAATTACGGGCGTGGCAAATATCGATAAAAAATTCCGTTATAAGTTAAATATTTTTTGCTCTATTTACAAAAGTGGGGTACCATTGGAAAGGTAATCAATCAAGCTTTCTGTATTTAAAAGCGAAGATACAAAAGTTTGTCTCGGTCGAAATCAAGTGCAAATGAATTACTCGATGAAAATAAAATTCATAGTATGCCTGAATAAAGAAAATTCCATCAAAACCAGCACTTTCCAGCAGCTAAAGTTGTGTTGTTTAAGGTCTAAGAGGAGTGGCAAATAAACTGAGATACAACCTTTATCGACTAATCGCGGATAAAGAGTTTGGTGGTCTAATGAAATTAATAAATTGCTAAAATTAAATTTAAGTTAACATCGTTTTACTTTAACATGAAATACTCAGTCCTGGTTTACTAAAATCCTAAAAAACGTATATTCATTAAAAAGAACATATCTAAAATAATAAGACCAAAATGGTATTTTAGCAATTGTTGCATAAATCACATAACACCAACAACTTATACATTGAGATTAAGATTCAAATATACGAGTTTAAATATTATTGCGCTTGATAATCTTCCAAATCATATCCCGTTAGGCCCTGCACTTTGATTTAAATTTTGTAGTTGTTATTGTTGCGTATTTATCAGGCATTTCTAAAAACATTTTTCACGTTGTTTTGAAATTTGGCGCCACAAAATAATTTAATTAATATTTTCTAGAATATGGAAATAACACACTGTCGACATCGGCAATGCTCGGACTTCTCATATTCGAGTGAGAGGAAATTTCTTTGCTTTTTTCGATCGCGAATGAAAAGCGGTGGAAATTGTATTTTTGATCGCATTCCGAATGTGAGAGATGATAAAAGAATGCAAAAATAAATTTGGAATATTATCGATCGCTATAAATCTCATAAATGAATGAATACGAATAATCATAAATGAAAATTTCCGAACCCTACCCAAAACTCTTACAAAATAAAATTTTATGAAGAACGTACGTATTTACGAAATATCTGGTGTTCAGGGAAATCCCTACTAAACCACACAACTCCGCACTTAGGGACATGCAGTTTGAAGAAAAAGCAACTACCTACGCGCACTTTTCTCATTAGTCAATATTATCCCCACTAAGTTCCATTTATTAGATATAATAAATAAACGCAATCATTATAATAAAATAACATGCAGATACTCCATTATACTGAAAAGTGTACGCTTGGAATATACTTTAACTACACGTATGTATGTATGTAATGTATAAGTACATACATACATACATATATATTACCACCATAATTCATATATTTGTGCATATTCCTACATTCCTT